GGAGAGCTGCTCGAGGGGAGGGCGGGGAGGGCGCAGCGAAGCCGGGGCGGAGGAGGGCGGAGCGGAGGAGGAGGGCGAGTCTGCCCGCCGCGGCCGCGGCCGCCCCCGGCGCGCCAGGAAGGGCGCAGCGCTGGAGGTGCGGGTGCTCTGCTCCCCGGGAGGGGGGGGAGCAGTGTGCACGGACGTGCACAGGGCGCGGCTGTCTGAGCCTCCTGGGTGGGGTCGCAGCACAGTCGGGGCGCGGGAGAAGGAACCCTTTTCGTTGGGGAGGGGCTCGGTGTTCCTTGATTGTTTCACAGTTTGCCTCAGGTCTTCCTGAGGTTTTCCTCAGGTGCAGTTGTCTGGGCCTCCCAGCCTGTGTAGGGTCGCAGTACAGCCGAGACGCTGAAAGAAGGAACGCCTCGGGTGCGGAAGGGGCTCGCTGTTCCTTAAGCTCTTCCATGGCTCCTCCTCCATCACTCCTCGTGCACCTAGGCGCTTCTGGGGCCAAGAAGGGGCTTCGTTCCTTATTTAGCGTTCCTTCTGATAGTACCTCGACTGTAGATGGGGTCGGAGGATCGCGCTGCATCGCCGATGCGGCTCGATGCGGAGCCCGATTTTCTCAACGCCGACGTCGCCGATGCATCGCCGACGTTGACGATGCATCGGTGCATCGCCGATGCATCGCCGATGTATCGGCGATGCGGCGCGATCCTCCGACCCCATCTAGTCCGACCCCATCTAGGAGGCCTCTAGGTTGCAGGAGGCAATTTTGCGGCAGACTTGTGTGCCGTGTCGACCCCAGCGCGGGCGTTCAGGGTTGAACGCGGCCAGCGGCACAAGATCGGCCGACGTCGAACGGTCTACGCTGTCTGCAAGCCGTGGTCATTCAGGGGTGAGCGATCCGCGTGGTCTCATAAACCAACGTGCGAGTAGTCACGACACGAACCCGCCGTACAGCATCCCTGGCCAAGGCCGTTTTGGGCCCCGCGTGTTGTGTTATGCGAAGGCCTCGGCGCATGCGTGCACCACTGCCAGGGCCCAGGATGACCCTGGCATGGTGAACGGTGGTAGTGCGTGGCCACCCTCTGGGTAAAGGAGGGTGCGAGAAGGAACAGGGGAAACGAGCAGGCAGGCACGCGTCGCATCCAGCTGACTGGGCAAGACCGCCGAGAGCAGCGCACAGACACCTGTTCCGTCGGCGGCGGGGCAAAAAGAGACTGCTCCGGCGGAATGGCAGACCGGGGGCGCGCTGACTGCATGGATGCCGCAACGCACGAGGGAGGAGGAGGAGGAGGAGGAGGAGGAGGGAGGAGGAGGAGGAGGAGGAGGAGGAGGAGGAGGAGGAGGAGGAGGAGGAGGAGGAGGAGGAGGAGGAGGAGGAGGAGGAGGAGGAGGAGGAGAGGAGGAGGAGGAGGGAGGAGGAGGAGGAGGAGGAGGAGGAGGAGGAGGAGGGAGGAGGAGGAGGGAGGAGGAGGAGGAGGAGGAGGAGGAGGAGGAGGAGGAGGAGGAGGAGGAGGAGGAGGAGGAGGAGGAGGAGGAGGAGGAGGAGGGGAGGAGGAGGAGGAGGGGAGAGGAGGAGGGAGGAGGAGGAGGAGGAGGAGGAGGAGGAGGAGGAGGAGGGAGGGAGGAGGAGGAGGAGGAGGAGGAGGAGGAGGAGGAGGAGGAGGAGGAGGAGGAGGAGGAGGAGAGGAGGAGGAGGAGGAGGAGGAGGAGGAGGAGGAGGAGGAGAGGAGGAGGAGGAGGAGGAGGAGGAGGGGAGGAGGAGGAGGAGGAGGAGGAGGAGGAGGAGGAGGAGGAGGAGGAGGAGGAGGAGGAGGAGGAGGAGGGGAGGAGGAGGAGGAGGAGGAGGAGGAGGAGGAGGAGAGAGGAGGAGGAGGAGGAGGAGGAGGAGAGGAGGGAGGAGGAGGAGGAGGAGGAGAGGAGGAGGAGGAGAGGAAGCCGGGCCCGCTCAGGCAAGTCACCGGCTGCGGCGGGGGGGGGGGGGGGCGCCCCAGGGGAGGGGACCAGCGGCAGCGCTGAGCAGCAGCTGGGGGGGATGGCGGCGTGGCAGACCAGGCAATCGGATGGGGGGAGCATCACAGGCGAAGCGGAAAGCACACCGCTAAGGACCGAAACGGCAGACAGAGTCAGAGATGAGTCCAGGCGCCGAGACCGGAGGGCCTACTGGTCTAGAGACGTTCACACATACACACACACACACGCGCAAGCACATTTGTTTTCCATCGCCGCAGTGTGAAGGCAACCGCTGGTTGAGCTGTCGCGCGCCGCGCAATGAGCAAACTTCGGCAACACATTGCCGCACAGGCATTCACAGTTCTGAATCACAACGCAGCGCTATATAGCATGGCCACATTCTAAACGTTTCGCGTAACCCGACCAGCCATACACTGTCGATTATGGGTTCGCGTGCTCGGCGTCCTGCTCGGCACATACATCGTGGTTTTGGTGCCGGTCCGCCTCTTCGCGCCATTTTGGCCGCGCTGAGTTCCGCCTCGCCCCAGCGTTGCCCGCAATCTTGTTTTCCTTCGCAGGTGGCACAGCCTGCCCCTGCTTGCCCGGCGTCCGACCCGCATCGTGCGCCTGCGTACCAGTGGGGGAGGGGTCAAGAAAACACCCTCCCCGCTCGCAAGTTGTCTCGCTCACGTTCGCCCGCCTTCCCAGGCCTCAGCATGTGCAGCGCTTGCCGATGGATGGGCAGCTACTGGGACCAATACAGACCCATGTGCGCGACCGGGCGAGGTGCGCCACGCGTGCCAGGCGTTCAAAGTGCGCCAGGCACCCCTGGGGCCCGAGCGTGCCAGGCACGCCTCGCGCGCCAGATGCGCCACGTGCCCCACATGCGCCATGAGCGCCGCATGGTCCAGCCCCGCCAGGTGCGCCACGTCTGGGGCACGCGCAAAGCGTGCCAGGTGCGCCCGCGCACGTGACAGCACTCATAGGGAAACCCGTCGGCCTCCACCATCCTTGTCGGAAAACCAGTGCACCATCGCGGCGGGAATACCATCGGGGTGCTTGGTGGGCGTGCGCACAGCAGACAATATGCCAGCACCCTCGCGCTCCAGGCCAAACACCAAATCGACAATGATCGCGGGGTGGCCGCGCATGATCCACATTTCGCCGCGATGTGCATATGGTATTGTATGTTTGACGGGTGCTGGCCTTGCGCAGAGCAGGCAATCTGAGGGCACCCCCGCCGCCCGTGTAAAAATTCCATGCAATGTGCTCGCGGGGCCCACGAACATGACCCAAGATTATGTTCCGAAGTGTGTTGCGTTTTGTGTTATGACTGGGATGGGGGGGTCGCAATGGCCCTGGTTGCCGGCCAGTCGCCAGGGGGAGGGGGTGTTTATCGAATGGCATTTGGCCCATCCCGACGCCGCGCTTGGGCTGCAGGTACGAAGCTCATTGAATGTTTTGGTTTGTTGCGGATCTCGTTGGAGGCCTTTTCGGGGGCCAAGTGGAGGCAGTTTGGGCGCTTCTCGAAGGTTTCTTAGGGCCTCGTGGGGCCTCCTTTTGGGCGTTTTGGAGGCCTCTTGGGGTTTCTTGGGGGCCTTTTGGGGGCATCGTAGAGTCTCCTGGGCGCCTTTCAGGGCCTCCTGGGGGCCTCTTGGGGCGGAAGGCTCGGTTCGTATTCCGTCTTTGGGGCCCCTTTGGGGGCGGTCTTGAGGCCCTCTTGGGCCGTTTTGGGCGCCTCTTGTCTGTCTGGGGGCCCTCTTGGGCCGTGTTGGAGCTTTCTTGGAGGCCTCTTGAGCCGTCTTGGGGCGGTCTTGGGGGCCTCCAGGGCCGTTTGGGGGCGTCGGCATGCCGAAAAGGCGAGGACGCCACAATTTTCAAAAATCTATGGGAAATCAATAATTCTGGCCTCTTGTGGCACTCTTGAGAGGCCTCTTGGCTTTGGACGTTTTGAAGACCTCTTGGGCCGTCTGGGGGCTTGAGCGTCTTGGAGCGATCGTTCGGCGATTCGGAGCCCTCTTGGACCGTCTTGGGGGCTTCTTGGGGCCCTCTCGGGCCCGAACAAATCATGCCCTCGGAGATTCGGTAATTTGGGGCATTGGCCCCTTAAAGCCTCCTCAAGAGTGAGGATTGAGGCGCGGAGAATTAGGCAAAGAGGACACACCCACTCCGTGCCCAGAGGCACGGTGGCGGATTAATAGAGAACAATGATAAACCCCTCCCCGGAGGGGAAGATGGAAAAGTAAACGCTCTAAACCGCTCACGCCCAGAGGGTTGGTGGGATTCATCCCTCCCGCATCCCCCCTCCACTGATACGCTTCCATTCTCCTCCGGCGCCACTCCCTGCTCCCCACTCTTCCTCACCCACTTAGATACTTACCTCTTTGTGTTATGATCCTCCAGGCTTTTAGGTATGTACGTCCCCCCATCCTCCTTACACTCCCTTCTCGACGTGCGATGTGCTGTCAATCGAACCTCGCAGCTGAATTCCGTGCCTTTGCGCGGATCGCAAGCGCGTGTGATCGATGTCGTGGTCGTTGTCGTGTCGTGTTGTTCTGTTCGGGACCTTGCTTACCTGATGCAGTGGATCCCGCCACATCCTCCTCGCTGCCCTCTCTCCCCCCCGTCTCAAGAGGCCGCCAGAGGCCGGGGAAGGGCCAGAAACGTCATCAGTCATAGATGTTTGACCCACCCTCCTCCCATCCTTATTGCGTGCGAGACAGGTCAAAGCATTGTGTTCTGAACGTCGTATCCCGCCGTACGGTTGCCTGACACGAGCTCCGCCTTACAGTCGGGTTGATTTTTAGTTTTGAGTCGGGCCTGTCCCTCTACAGGGGGAAGATTCAAACATAGTAAAAAAATAGTCTGGGGACTATGTTTTGCTTATTTTTTGCATCTTTTGAGCACTTGTTGAATACGTCTAGCTTTCCGTCAAAAATACCCCCTGTCGGGGGACATGCCCGACCTAATAGTAGCTCGACCCTGCAAAAGCCAGCTGGCTCAGCTCAGACCCTCCGCTCCTCCTCCCTCGCCCTCCCTGGCCCTCCCTCGCCGCCCCGCCGGAGGCCGTCCGCGCTGCGGTCGCCTCCCGCGCCAGGCGTGCGCCCGCCCCGTTCGCCTCCCCGCGTCGCCGCCGTCGTCTCCGTCCGTCCGTGCGTCGTTCGTGGTCGCTGACGAAAATCAAAAATAGATTGAGAAATATGGGGAATCCGGTTATTTGTGTCTATGGATTTGCGTGTCCCAGGGCCCCTTCCCAAGGCGTTGGAGGTCCGGGGATGGTGCGGCATCGAGCGGCGAGCAGGCAGCACCCCAGGCGGCCACGGCTGGCCTCGGCACGCCCCCCGAGCAGTGCCAGCGGGCCTCGCCAGGCCCCCCGAGTACAGTCAAGACGCTGAAATAAGGAACAGTTTGGGATCGGAAGGGGCTCGATGTTCCCTAGGTTCCTCCAGTGCTGTTCCTCTCGACGGAGGCGCTTACAGTGCCAAGAAGGGGCTTCGTTCCTTATTTAGCGTTCCTTCTTTCAGCAGATACCCTCCGGGCCATAACGCGCGTTATGCCGCATGCGGTTCCTGCGTCACGTGCAGCGCTGCGTGGCCCCATGAGGAGCTCCACCGAAAGTCCCAGTGGCGGAACTCGCATGCGGTTCCTGCACCCAATGCGGTGTTTCGCGGCCCCATAGGGAGCTCCACCGAAGGCCCCTACCCTCCCCCCTATCTTCCCTCCTCCCCTCCCCACACCCATAACGTAACGCTCACCCCCTCAGTGCGTCTCAGGCACTGCCGCAGTGCGTCCGGCGCCACAGTTTGGAGATGGGGGGCGCTACGTTATGCCCCTCCGTCCCCCCCACCTCCACCACATGACGCCCGTTATCGCCACGAATCAAGAAAATGCGCTCGTGGTCGTCTATGATCCATCGTCTCCGTCCGTCCGTCCGTCGTCCGTCGTCATCCTCCGTCGTCTTCCCACCGCGGACACGATGGTTAGATGCTCGTTTTGGGCACCTTCCTTGGGCCCACCAAACGGATCTGTTCGACTCTAGTTCGACTCTGCTTCGATTCCAGGTCGACTCAAGCTCGACTCAGGTTCGACTCGAGTTCAACTCAGGGTCGACTCAGCTTCGACTCGAGTTCGACTCGAGTCGGCGGACGTTCGACGCAGCTTCGACGCACGAGTGGAGCGAGTGGCTCCGAGATGGCGCCTGCACAGGCGCGAGAGGTGCCGCGCGCCGGCCGCCAAGCGATGGGGGAGGGCACGATGGAGTGCCAGCCATGGGAGGTCAACGATGGGAGGCTGACGAGGAGAGCAAACGATGGGGGTCAACGATGGGGACACACAGACACGCATGCATGCATGCGTGCATGCATACATGCATACGTCACAACACACACACGCACATGGGTAGCTACCCGCATACGTAGATACGCATACGCATACAGACGTACATATGCGCATGCATGCATACGTACAACATACCTAAACAAATATATATATATATATATATGTTTAGGTATACATACATACATACATACATGCATGCATGCATGCATGCATACATACATGCATACATCCGTCCGTCCACACCTACATACATGCATGAATGCATGTGTATATACACACCTACATACATTCACACATGCCTACATCCATGCACGCATACCTATACATACACACACGTATACTCATGCATGCGTGCATGCATGCAAGCAGTCATACACGCATACACGTATGCATTCAGGCATACTTGCATACATACAAACATGAACACATACAAGCACGTACGTATACATATATTCATACACATACAGTAGTACATATGCAAACATAAGTACACAAACATAGTCATAGGCACCTACATTCATGTAGACATAGGTATGCAATTGCATACACATGCATCGACACCTGCATCTGTATATCCATATGCATATGCATGTATGCACCCATGTGCACATGCATACGTATATGCGTATATGCATGTATACATACAGGCGTGTGCACATGCTTACATGCATACATTCATACATCCATACTCACGCGCACACACGTGCACATTCGAAACATACGCGCACGCACACACACACCAACACAAACACACACACACACGCACACACACACACACACACTCACACGCGCGCACACACACGCCACACACATACATACATACATACATACATACATACATACGCGCGCACCCACACATACACATACACACAGCACGCACACGCACACACTCAAATATATTTATCGTCAGAGGTCCAGTGAGTAGCCATCCAAGCGGTCCAGTTGCACTGTCGCATGCTCGCTAAATTCGACAAGCGACAAGCCAGGACAGGTTGGTGCCTGATACCAACCTGTCGTTGAGCGGATAAGGCACGAGCCACTACCTTCTGCCTCCGCCAGAGATGTGACATCGCAGTCGCGACAGAATGTGCACGGGAAGCGAACCTATGATCTACATTCTGCCTCGAGGAAAGGCCGAATCGCGTTGAGGACGGCGTGCGGACGAGGCAGGCCCAGACCGAGCGGCTAGCACGCAGCGGAGAGACGCGTGAGCGCGTGCGCGCGCGTGCGGCGCATGTGCGGCAAAGAGGCACATGAGCCTCGCAGGAAAACGGGCTCGTTTTCCCCCGACATCGGCGCGCAAATTACTCTTCGTGAGCTCGCGCGCAGGCGCCGTCGTTTCCAGCGTGGCGTGTCGCGCCGGCGGCCCGCGTCAGCCAGCGCGTCAGGTCGCCATGGCATCTCGCGTAAGGCGTCGCTCGCGTGCAACCGAGGCGGCGCCAGGCGTCAGGTCTCTTTTCGTCGCTCGCGCGCAACCGAGGCGGCGATGACTGCGAACGAGCCGCCGCGCGCGCACGCTCTCCGGTGGCGCCCGGCAGGGGCGCGCGCGCGCCTCGTCGTTTCGTGGTGGGGGTGTCGCGTCGCGGCCGCGGTCGCCGGGACCAGACCAGGATCCCTCGCGCAGCCCTTGGCATCGCTCGGACGTGTGCATTTTTCCTTCGACGAGGACCATCGAGGAGCATCCTTGATCATTTGGCGAAAAAGCCACGCACGACACCGAAAACGACACAGGGAATGGACGTCCGAGCGATGGCCAGAGACCAGGATCCCTCGCGCAGCCGCACCTCGGCCCTGCCGGGTGGGAGGGGGCCAGCAGGCAGCTCAGCCCGAAGGAAGCCAGGCCTCAGCACATACGCACAAACACACGCGTGTTGGGCGTCGCGGTCTGGACCTGGCCACAACTCGCTCGGAAGCCCCGCGGGCGCGCTGTTGGGCGTCGCGGTCTGGACCTGGCCACAACGCGCTGGTGAGCACGAGACAAGCAGAATTTGCACGATCAGCGGAGGCCACAGCTGGCCAAAGAAGACGAGGTGCCAGCACACACACACACACACACACGCACTTGTTTGCTTGGGCGCCGCGACCACGCGCGCAGCGGCTCTGCGCAGAGAGGTCGGGCGAAGAGACGCGCGCGGCCGGCCCAGATCAGGCGGAGTGGAGATACAGACGCACGCACGCACACACACACACTCACACACACACACAAACATTGGCACAAACGAAATGCGTACGGAAAGAATGGGCCCGATGCCCAACAGCAGTTCCCGTGCATTTTGAACAGGACTCGCTGTCGGTGTCGCCGCCGCGGCTTGTGTGCATTTGGGACAGAAGGCCGCCTGCCCAACAACGGCCGCTGTTGATTTGGGACAACATTTGTTGTTGGGCATTGTACCCATTTTTCCGTACCCATTTCGGGCGTCCAGAACACAAACACATTTTCTTCCCTCCACCGCAGCATTGGACCAGCAGCCCGTGAAGCCCTCACGGGACGCGCCGGCGCGCTCGTGATGATTTCAGGGGCAACGACAGGGGTGGATAGGCTTAAGTCCGGCCTGTCCCTCTACAGGAGGACTATTCAAAAATAGTCAAAAAATAGCCTGGGGACTATTTTTTGAGCATTTTTTGTCATTTAGGGTATTTTTTATCTTTTTCTATTTTCTTCCAAAATCCCCCTGTAGGAGGACAGGCCCGACTTGAGGATAGGCTCGGGGGAGAGCGCCTCGCCCCCCGATCGCCCGCACATCGCAGACGGGGGCCCGAGCTGGCACGCTCCCCGCCCAGGAAGGTGTGGCTTCGCAGCCGAGGCCCTCATTATTCAGGAGGGAAAGAAACACACAGACACAATTGATCGTCGATTCCCCAGAAAATGCTGAAACATATGGGAAGTATGGGGCAAGACAGGAGCCCAGAAAATATTGAAAATATGGGAAATCCTTTTATTGAATCGCTTCGCTCATTCCGCCGGCCCGTGATATGGCATCGCTGGTTTTTGTCTGTGTGTTCGTTGCCCATGTTGCGCTCTTGGGGGCGGGTGTCGTTCGGACGCGTTGCGTGGGGAGTTTTGATGGTGAAGCAGTTCCCTGGGGGTCGTCTCTCGATGGGGCGAAATAGAGTCGTCGTCAAGATGCTTCTTTGGGGGGCCTCTTGGGGTCTGTTGAGAGGCCGTTCGGGGGCGCCTGGGAGACATGTTTGAAGCCTTCTGGGGCTTCTTTTGGGCCTCCTGGGAGTCTCCTGGGGCCTCTTGGCGACATCTTGGGGCCTCTTGGAGGCCTCTTGGGGCCTCTTTGGGACCTCCTGGGCGCCTTCTGGGACGGAGGGCTCCATTTTTGAGTTCTCGGTATCCCTCCTGAGTCCCTCTTGGGCCCGTCTTGGGGCCTCTTGGTCCGTCTTGGGCGGCACTTGGGCCGTCTTGAGGGCTCTCTTGGGTCGTTTCGGCGCCGTCTTGGGAGCTTCGTGGGCCGTCTTGGAGCGGTCTTGGGGGCCTCTTGGGCCGTCTTGGAGCGTCCGGAAGCCGAAAAAGCCAGAACACAAAAAACATCGAAAAAACTAATGAAAATCAACGATTTTGGCCTCTTGGGGCTCTCTTCGGAGGCCTCTTGGAAGGCTCTTGGGGCGTCTTGGAGGCCTCTTGGGCTGTCTTGGGGGCCTTTTGGGCCGTCTTGGGGTCATCTTCGGCGTCTTCGAGCGCTCTTTGGGCGTCTCGGGGGCCTCTTGGGCAGTCTTGGGGGCCTCTTGGGGCACTCTGAGCGCGCTCTGGGG